TGGCAGTTGTGAGTGAACATGTTACTGACTCCATTTCTGAGCACCCTTTGCAACTAAGTATAGCCAGTGAAATGCAAGAAGAAATGTTGCAGGAGATTTTTCTCCTAAGGGACCGTGTCTTCACTCTTTACTCTGCTTCCTTCTTCTGGTGGCCTGCAGCAAAATCATGGTGGCTGAGGTGTGAGCAGTCATTTAAATGCTGTGAGAAACTCCTGAGGCTGAAAGCCAGTTCTAGGGTAGTAGGATGACATCTGGTTTCCTTTATCTAAAGTGAATTGAGTGAACTCCATTTTTCGTGAAGCTGTATTTCATTCAAACTTACCTTCATAGCTCAGAGAGCCAGGGGAAGATGGTTTAAACCCACCTAGCCTTGGTTTGTCACATATGAGAATCTGAAGTCCTCCTATGATAACCTGTGAGTTCCTGAGGCCTGTGTTTACACGGCTTGCCCACCTCTGTGCGTGTTCCGCCAGTCTCTCTTAGCTCCATCATGCTCTGTTCTAAACAGGAAACTCAGCCACTCATTGATCTCCACACACTTCATACAAAGCCTGGACCTCATCATCCCTCTAACACATGCAGGGAACATCACAAATCCATCAGACACCTGTTAGCACTGGCCTTCCCACTGCACCTCCCAGCAGCACCCCATGTCTGTCTAGCCAACAGCACCCCTGTGTCCTCCACCCTTGCTCTCCTCTCCTTAGACTGGTGCCCAGAAGGCTTCTACTTACCAGAGGCAGTTGTGTTACAAATGACACATTATTCTCAAATATATTTCCAGGGAGGTGTGTGTGTACTGTTTGTGAGGGTGTACACAAATACACACACACACACACACACACACACACACACACACACACACACGAAAGGGTGTCTGTCTCTGCACCTTAGCTTTTGAGGCACAGTCTCTCACTGAAGCTGAAGCTCCCCCCCCCCCCGCACTCTGCCCCCGCCTTTTGCCTAGGTAGGCCTGCCATCAAGCTCCCAGTATGAGATGCTTACTTCCATCTGTTTCCCAATGCTGGGGAATCCAGGAATGCATAATTATAACCAGCTTTCATGTAAGTGTTGAGAATTTTGCATCAAACACTCTTACCCACTGTTCCCTCGGATGTATATATTTTTAAAAACTGATCAAAAGCATCATAAAACCTCCATTCTTTGTAGATGCATCTCTGTTTCTAAATCTCTAGAATCTCAAAGTGAATGACAGTGTGAGTGATAAATTGGAGGGTGGGAAGGGAGTATCAAGAGCACAAATCCAATTGGCTAGTTTGCAGGGGCTGCAGTCTACTCCTACATTCACAAGGCGTGGAGGAGCCCTAGCTCATTCCTGGTAGCTGGCTTTTCCCTGAATGCCACTGGTGTGCCTTGTAGGAATAGATTGTCCTGGTCGCCACATTTCCTATCACTAAGAGTACCGGCAGCTGACACCCCATGAACTGATGGACAAGAACTGAGCTTTCAAGCATGAAGATCACTTCCACTTACTGAAAACATTTCTCTGGGGATCTCTGAATCCCTAGTATACGTTGTGTTTTTGTGTCTGTATTATTAAAACAAAGCTTTGAAATTTTCTGAGTTAATATGCAAGTAAAATATTAAATTTAGCATATCACTGAAGAAAGGAAATGATGATTTGCTGTTCTACATTTTATAAATGATGAATTTTAATTATATGTAGCAGTTGCACATACTAATGGAGTATCATGTGACATTTCAGTATGTGTATATAGTGTGTGATGACCACATCCTGGTAGTTGGCATATATATCACCTCAGATTTTTGTCATTCTTTGTTGGTAACTCTATATTTATCCAGCATTAAAATTTAGTTTTTTGAATACTAAATTCATAATATTGCTATAATTGGGAGGTAAGTGGTATTTTATAGTTAAATAAAGGGCTTGAAAGATGACTTTGTGACTAAGAGCACTTGCTGCTCCAGCAGAGAGGACCCAAGTCTGGTCCCCAGCACCCGCATTGCTGGATAACAGCAACCCCAGAGTATCCAACACTCTCTTGTGGCCTACATGTGGTGCATATACATATTATTCAGGCACACATAAAATCTGAATAAAGAAATCTCCATAGTTAAAGAAATGGATGCTTTCAGGGTGCATAGTCATTAATGGTGAAGCCATGATTGATAATGATGTGAGTTTCTCTATCCAACCTCTGGAGATCTTTTAGAAAGACCACATGCTTCCTTGTCAGGATTAAGTAGTTCCTGAGAAGAGCAGACATGGTATACAATGGGGTCAGACTAGTGCAAGAGTGTCCTACCCAGGACTTCCAGGTAGGCAGTCAGCATGGACAAGTCTGGAGCCAGACCAAGGAGAGGGTGGTGTGAACCTGAGCACAGAGAGAAAGCCGAGTCCAGGAGCTCCTTGTAGCAACACAAGTTTCTATAACATCTTTTCTTATTTACATCTTTTTCTACTTCTTTTCCCTATGAAGAGCTTGCTATGGATGAGAGGCAGAGACCAATGCAGGTCAGAAGGAATCAGAAAAGGATTTATACCGAAAAATCCTGACTCACTGGAACCATGGGTGCTGTTTTCAGGACCACAAACCCCAGCCTGCTGGGGTGGACAGAAAGGGTTTGCATCTGAGCTCTTGGAGTAGAGAAACAAAGTGCTGCAAGGAAAAACATCTCATTCTCAAGAACAAATTTTTGAGAAAATCAAAATTGGAGCATCTGACAGCAGGGCTTCTCTGGGTCCATCAGCTCTTACAAACCACACGTGGCTTCTTGCCAGGTTGATCATAGGTCATTTGTATTCAGTACCTGATGAACAAAGGGAACCCTGTTGGGAAATGATATTACTAGTCTGAGAGCTTCCACTTTTGTGTCGGGGCCACTGAGGTTTTGCTAGTGGTGATATACACGTACATGTTGCTTCTCGTGTCAGTTGGTAGCATCACTTACCCATTCCATTTGGCATTGCCCACTAAGAAATCAGCTGCCAAGTGGGAAAAGCACTGCCATTTACTGACTGCCTATCTTATGATAGGTACTATGCTCCCATATCCCTCTGCATCTTAACTCCTTTTCTAGCAGAGGCATATCACCAGGGAGAGGGTAAGGGACTTGCTAAGTCAGAGTCACTTACTGGGCCAATCCAAAGCATGAGTGCACCAGATGTTTTCAAAGCTCCCAGCCACTAGAATGGTTGTGGGTGTCGGTGACTGGATCATAACTAGATGGTGAAGCATATACAACTTGCACAGCCCCTGACCCTGAGGTTTTCCATGTGTGCTAACAGCTGTGCATTGAGACTACCTTGAGGTTATTCCAAATGCTTTTCTGAAACATTTCTTCAGTCTCTGGATCAGACAGACTTGATCATATACTCTTGATGTCTGACTGGCCCAGAAAAAAAATGGTCAGTAAATTCTGCCTTTGTGTACATATTTTCCCAAACATTATAATATTGCCCTGCAACTATCATACAATTCTCTCTAAGTTTGACCTGGGCCATATATGTGGTCGCATCTTTACCTGGGTAACAGACAGAGCTTTAATTTACTATGCATTTACTTCTTACCTGGCATGGTACTTTGGGTTCAACATTACCTGAACCTATATTGTAACCTTACTTCGGGCTGGAGAGATGGCTCGGTGGTTACGAGTACTGTCTGCTCTTTCAGAGGTCCTGAGTTCAATTCCCAGCAACTACATGGTGGCTTACAACCATTTGTAGTAGGTTCTAATACCCTCTTCTATACTCAGATACATAAAATAAATGAAATTTTTGAAAAAAATCTACCATTACCCACTGTAACCGAAGAAACTGAAGGAAGAAAGTTGACTTACTTGCCTAATATTTTCCTCACGTAAAGGAAGATATGACAGTCTAACTTTATCTTTCAGTTACTCTGTCATTCTATCTAAAGGTTCCCTTGACTATGAGGTCAGGGACCCAAAGAAGCAGTACCTTGGCCAAGCAAAAGATCTGTACAAGGTCACATTAGCATTCAACAGGCAGCACTAATTGTGCTCAGGAGCTGACACGAAGGTGAGACAGGGACATGTTCTGGTGTGTCCTGGGGGAGTGTGCATGGAGTGGGGTGATTGAGGGTGGGTATGATCAAGACATGCTGAATACATATATGAAAAAATTTAAATGCTATTAGACAAAAATGCTAACCAATTTAACTAACTTCATAATTCTAAGTCTGTATAAGTTTTTCTCAGAACCAAAGCAGGAAGGAACAGTCAAATGACTTTTCTCTCTTATCTGGACTTGGGTAATTTAGCCTCTGAGTTTCTCTGATTGTTGCATACAACTTTGGTATAACTGATTAAAAAAATACCAAGGCATTCAGATTATGTATCTTTAATTTTCAAGTCCTGTTGTTTTTCAGATTGCTTTCCCCAGAAAAACCGTGCCAAATTCTCAACATCAAAGCAGAAAAATCAGTCTCTTAAAAGTGAGCAAATCTCCCACAGGTAGGAAACAAACACATCTTGAAATGCTGAGGGAAAATGATGCTGCCTGCCTGGGCAAGTAAATCTGAGGTAGTTAACTCATGTCTTTTTTCTTATTAGATTTTAGAGCTAGTTCTGCTGACAGTCTATTGTTTTCTGCATACCAAATGGAAGGCTTTAAGAAAGGTGGGCCCTGCAAGGAACAATCTCTCTTTGCTGGAGGAAAGTCACCACTCAAACAGAAAGTTCTCTGACAAAGTAAGGAGTCCATCCTAACACATACAACCACTTAAGACAGCAAAATAAGCTTAAATATAATTCTGCATTACATATTACAACCTCAATTATTCTTTATTACAACTATAACTTCCTCGTTATGTAGGTACTGCCAATCATGTTGCTGAAGGGCTGTGTAAAGGTGGTGTTGTAGTTTTGGTTTTAGTTTTCGTTTTGTTTTGCAAGAATGAAAGGGGAAGGGCCTCTCTCTTACAACCCAACAGTGTGCTTCAGGCAAACCTCAAAGTTCATGTGGTTTATGGTCACTTACTTCAGCTAGAGGCCGGAAGTGCTGTTGGTGTCACTGTGCAACTTGGGTATTTCTTTTTCCTCAAGTGTTTGCTCAGAGGAACTGGCCACCAAGGACTTCTCCAGCTTTTCCCAGACCTAGACGTCTGAGCCTCTCTCAGAGGTCTCAAAATAGCCAGCTCTCTCTCTCTTTCAATCTCTCTCTCTCTCTCTCTCTCTCTCTCTCTCTCTCTCTCTCTCTCTCTCTCTCTCTCTCTGTGTGTGTGTGTGTGTGTGTGCGTACACGCATGCACACAGGCTCACTTGCTGGAAAGTGTGTTTATGGCAGTGTGCATAGCTATAGAGAGGCCAAGGAGGGTTGAGAAGTGAAGTAATCTCGTGGACCAAGACAGTGGCTCCTGGTACACAACTCAGGATGAAGTCCCCTTGGGAAGCCCTCAAGATCACCCCTCTGGTTCTTCTGCTGTCTCACTCGTTGGCCTCTGCACCCTATGAGGACCAGCCAGGTACCAGCTACTCAGAGGGCCACGACTGTGTAGGTATGTACATTTTAATTTTTTCTATGTATTCATAACAATGAAGTATGATACTTTGCTTGCACAATAATCCCCCAACCTCAAAGTCAGATGTGATGGCACAAACGTATCTGTATTCCTAGCACTCAAGGGAAAGAGGCAGAAGGATCACCAGATGGAAGCTACCCTGGGCTACATATTGAGAGCCTGTCTCAAGAAGTAAACAAACCAAAGTCCTCTTCTATTACTGGACAGGTTTTCTTTTGCTTCCTCAATAATCTGAAATTCTCAGTTCTCTTCGTGCTCTGACCGTAGACACCTAGATTAGATTGTCATCTTCCTCCTCTCCCCGATCTGTTACTGGCTCTTACCTAGCTAGTCCTCTCCCTACTCCTCTGTCCTTCTCAGTGGACAGGGCTAGTGATGTGTATCTCACAGGGGTATGTGAGAACTAAGATCAAGCATCCATGTCTGTGACATCTGTGTACAGAGATGGCTTAGCTCCCTCAGCTTCCTTCATTCTTTAAGGAATCTAACTATCGTGACCCAGCAGAAACTCTGAACACTGACTGAGATATGGCCTAGTGACTCCTCCTTCATAGGAACATTTCCAATTTCTCTTTGTGTTTGCTTTGTGTCTTCTGAGTATGGTAAGAAATGAGATGAAAACTTTTGTACTCACTAGATTTATGTCAACTTGACACAGGCTTAAGTCACCTGAGAGAAGGAAACCTTAATTAAGTAAGAAAATGCTCCCATCAGATTAGAAAACCTATAGGGTATTTTCTTAATTAAGGATTGATGGGAGAGAACCCAACTCATTGTGGATGGTTTCTTCCCTGATATGGTGGTTCTGGGTTCTATACGAAAGCAAGCTGAGCAAGGAATGAGGAGCAAGCCCATAAACACCACTCCTCTATGGCCTCTGCATCAGTTCCTGACAGGTTCTCCCCAAGATTCCCTTTATAGATGGAATGTTACCTGGAAGTACGAGCTGAAATAAACCCTTTCCTTTCCAGGTTGCTTTTGGTCAAGGTACTTCATCACAGCCATAGAAACCCTAACTACAACAACTTCCATATTCATATTATACACAGGCCATGCAGCAGTAGAGGGAATGGGTAATGGAGCCACATAGACTCAGAACTAAGAAACAATTATTGCATAATCAGACCTCAATATGGAACCCTAAACAAAAGAACCCCGAGTGTAAGTGCGATGGCCTAGTATTACACACAGATATCCTGGGTACAAGTTCTGACACATTTGAATTCTGTGTAGAGGCAGTATCAAAACATCTGAATTAGTAATGTCTTTCCAAAGTCATGATCTTATTATGTACATCAGGGAACTCATCTCTAGATCCAAATATTCCTTTAAAAATAAAACCCAAAGATCCACATTCATTGGTTCTTTAGAACCGGGTCTAGGAGTTAGGGGGTAATCTTCACTCAGTCTTTTGTTTCCTAAAATCACAACTTAACTGCCATTCCATTTTCTCACAGCAAATTGGCAAGCCTGTCAAATGGAATGCACTGGAGAAAGGCTCCTGAGAGTCAGTTCCTTTTCCAGGGAGGCTACAAATAGACTTTCTGGGTTTGGTCCAGTGTTCTACCCTGAGATCTCCAGATCTTCACATCAATAGAATGGAAACAGGTTCCCATTTTCTTCCCTGCTTGGTCCCCAGAAAGGCTATGGGAAGTTGGAAGCTGTGTTAATAGAATTCCAGGAATTTGCTCTGCATATCTATTGTTGCAGAGCAAATGAAAATAATAATCATTTGTTGCAGCATGATTTTACAGAATTTGGGCAGGGCTTGGATGATTACTTTCTGTATCATGTAGGGTAACTGAGTTAATGGGTGATAGGAAAACGGTGGATTGATGGATCTAAAACTAAGACAGCTTCACTCACTTATTGAGTTCTCTAAGGGTAGAGGATGGTTAAAAGTGTGTGGTTTATCTAGGAATTCCCCATCTGCGGTCATATGAACCTGATCTTGTCTCATCTAGGACTTCCCCTTGGAACACCTACCCTCAGTGGTCCTAGGAGGTGATGACTTATTATATGACAGCACAGGAATCCCAGAGAGAAAATTCCAAATGAGAACTCGAAACTGTCCATCTTTCAGGGTTCCATTCTGGAAACTCCTGTCTTTCAATTTCCTGGTGTCACTCAGAACTTCTGGCAAATTCTCTCTGGGTAACTTAGTCACCTATTGTCATGATAACAAGGAAGGTAGGTATAAGGCATCTGTTTATATGATTAACATTTTCTGAGCCCTACATACATACTCAGTCAGGTGTTAAAAGTAGTCCATGCTGGCTGGTGTCTTACTGTTTGAAGCTGCTTCCTTGAAGTAAATAGACTCAGACAATACTTTGCAGAAGTATATTGTGAAGTATTCTTGGGAAAAGTCTATCTAGAGAGCACAAGTTCCCACAAAACAGTCCCTAGATGTGGCCTGCCTCCCCAGGGATGACTCATTGAGGTGTCTTCCTATGATATAGACAAGTGACTTGGGACCTCTGTGATGCCTCAGATCAGTATTCAAAGAAGCAAGGAGGAGACTGAGTATCCCCAAAAGTAGATCCCAGATTCCTTTTCTTTACAGGAAAAGAGCTGAAAAAATGTCTTTAGAAGTAGTGAATTAAACTTCCTCTTAGCTCGTGATTAGAGGGAGAGTTTCCTGGAGGAGGTGGTGTGTTCCAGAAGTATTCTGCTGGGTCTGCACTTGCTGCTAACACTCTAACAACTTTCTTATAAAAATAGGCGTATCTATTTAAACTCATGTGCAGAAAGTGTCCCTTGAAGCAGTTCAACACACTAATTCCTTACATGATCACTGGATGACTACCAAATGGCAGACTCTGGGTTCTGAACCAATGATACATGGCAAGAATTTTTAAAGTGTCTGATTTCATGGAAGTTACTACCCATTTTAGAGACAAATCTAGAGATTAGTAAAGATTAAAGTGCTTCTAATTGGAGAATAAACTTGACACTGAATATGACTAAAACACATCCTGCCTGCACACTGTAATGCTGGAGCTGAGTTCACAGAGTGCCACACAGTATGAGTCAAGGTTAATCAGCTCAGCAGCAGACAACTAAAAAGCTGTCTACTCAAAGTCTCCAGAAGGTGGCAGACATGATGGTGTCTTGGTGCTGGAGAGATGGATTGGCAGTTAAGGGCATTGACTGTTTTTCCAAAGAACTGGGGTTCAATTCCCAGCACCGACATGGTGGCTTACAACTGTAACTTCAGTTTTAGGGGACCTGACGCCCTCACACAGACACACATACAGGCAAAACACCAATGCACATAAAATGACAATAAATAATTTATAAAAAATTCAGAATTTTAGAAATTCTTGTATTGAAAGATGATGAGTGAAAGTGAGAAATTTCAGTTATCTCAAAGACTCTGTAACAGGTCCCTCCCCTCTCAAAAACCCAGGGCAGTCAAAACCTGTGGGGCAAGGATGAGGCAGATGATTGTCCACAGTCTAATGCAGCAAGAAGAATTCATCTTTGTTAGTTATTATCTACAGTCTCAGTACAAAGTCCTTCTTTGATCAGAGAAGCCTGTCCTTCCTTGCCGTAACTAAAATCAAGTAGCAACAAAACTTCACATGAACTCAAGCACTCATAGACACTGCCCCTGCAGTGGAAGTAGTTCTTTTTCCTATATATGATAATGTTCAATGGCCCAAGTTCCTCCATATTTGAGAACATGAGCATTTAAGTAGCATAGTTGTTCTTACAGAGCTTCATATGCTCCTGTCCTGCAGTCATTTTTTGCAGCTCTCCAACACTTAAAAAAATGCATGTATACATATGTGTGTGTGTGTGACACATGTAATTTTAAGTAAACATAAAATAATGACTCTATATCTTTTTCTAGGATTCTTAGTGTTTTTATCTGTTGTACCTCCCGTCTCCTTCTGTATTACACTCCACTTCCCCAATTAAAGCCCATGTTTTCCCCATTTCTCCCTTCATAACACCTTTGTTCTGCTGTTCCCCTCTACAGCTCCTCCCTTCTTGGTCCCTTTTACTATCCTAGTTCCAGTGGCTATTCTAGGTTTCATGTTCATATCTACAAATTTGGAGCTAAAAACCACAAATAAGAGCATTCAGTGATTTCTTTCTGGGTCTGACTTACTCCAGTCAGTATAATATGTTCTAGTTCCATCAATTCACCTCCAAATTTCATGATTTTAAATAGAGTTTTTCTTTTTCAGTATCAGATAGATAGCTAGAGGTCCTATGTCAAATTTATGACTGACTTTTTTTTCTATTCTGTGAGTTTTCCCTCACTTTTATAACTGTTTCCTCTAGAATACATTCTTTGTAATTTGATGAGTCCCTATTTCTATTTTTAATCTCCTGTACTGCTGGGGTCATATCTAATAACCATACTTCTAGGCTGCTATTGTCAGTGTATCACTCTATTTTCTGTTTATGTATCCCTTTATCTTATTTCTCAGACACTGAATCCCTAAGCAACACATGGCAACCAGGCATGTAATGCCTACTTAGAGTGCAAGTTAGAGGAATTGAATTGGGCTGAGACAAGCTCAGGGGCAGCATGCATGGTTGGCAGGTGTGGAGCCCTAGATTTAGTTCCCACTGCCCCCAAATGAATAAAGGAATCCAACTGTGTTAAGATGAGCATGAAAAGGAGGAAACTTTCCTAGGATGATCCAAGAAGTGAAATTTAGAATCAAAAGTCAGAGAAACAGGGCATCCTGAAAATCAAGGCAGGTGTCAGGAAATGGAGGTGACTACCAGCCACCTGGGGCATCCTCTCAGTGCTGCCTCTGATTGTGTCCTTTGGTCAGATTTCCATCTGGTTGCCAATCCCAGTTTCATGCAGAGAGAACCTGGGCTGCCATCATACCACTGAATAAGAGGCAAGTGAGAGTATGCCTAGGTACAGATACAGTTCCCAGAAGAGTGCCATTGTTGCAACTGAGCAAACTCTCCAAAATGAGCCACCACAGAAGGTGCCAGGCTAT